CGAAGCCCACGGGTCACACCTCCTTAACCTGTGAACCGTCCGCTCGGGTCACGAGTTGGCACGCGGTCCCGGGTCGATCTGGGCGGCTGGGCCTAAGAGGGAAGCTGATGGGACAGTATGGTATGTAAGTTTTACTTGTAGTCGAGAAGGGCGACGAAACGATAAGAGAAATACTTCTTTGAATCCTCCACCAACAATTGAAACCAGGTGTAAAGCCAGATTGACTGCTTGTTCTGATGCATGTGGAATATTTTGAATAAACGTTGTGCATTTAGAGCATAACCATAAAACAAGTCCATCTAAGTTTAGGTTGTATAGATGTAATCGACAACTTAGTGAACATGTTAAAAGATGGCTTGAGGTGAATGACATAGCAGGGATACCTATGCATAAAAGCTTTAATTCAACTGTAGTGGAGTATGGACTTGGATGAAGAGTGTCGATTGAGAAATGTTTTTTGGGCAGAAAACAGATGTCGAGAAGCATGTAAGGAATTTGGAGATGTTTTTACTTTTGACACTATATACCCAACTAACAAATATGATATGTCGTTCGCTCCTTTCGTAGGGGTGAATCACCATGTGCAATCAACTCATCTGGGGTATGGTTTGGTTTCGAACGAAGATACTAACACATTCGTTTGGATATTTAGGATATGGCTAGAATGCATGAACGGCCAAGCTCCCAATGGAATAATTACAGATCAAGATCAAGCTATGCAAAATGCTATTCAAATTGTGTTCCCTAACTCTAGGCATAGATAGTGCTTGTGGCATATACTAAAGAGTTACCTGAGAAGTTCGGCTACCACATTGCCAAAGTCGCAATAATGCATGCTATACACGTGTTAGTCTATGACATATTAAGTTGTGAAGAATTTGAAGAAGGATGATGGAATATGCTTGATCATTTTGAATTACGAGATCATGATTGGTTGAATGGACTCTATAATAAGAGAAGTCGTTGGGTACCATGCTACCTGAAAACTACATTTTAGGCTGGTATGTCAACCACACAACGAAGTGAGACCATGCATTCATTCTTTGACGGTTATGTGAATTCGAAAATATCTTTAAAGCTTTTTGTAGAGCAGTACGAATGGGCATTGAGAAGTAAAGTGGAGAAGGAATTTTAAGCTGATTTGAGATCGTTCTCGAAAATGGTTCCGTGTGCCACTAAGTATGATTTGGAGAAACAATTTCAAGATGTAAATACTATCACAAAATTTAGATAGTTCCAACAAGAATTCATAGGAAAGGTTTATTGTGAAGTGCTATCTACCGAAGACTTCGCCGGGCAAACGAAGTACGAGGTCCGTGAGGATAT